GGTTTGACTTGCAGACTGAGATTTGACTTACAGACCAGAAAAAAACCCAAAATGGAACAAAAATGGCCTGTTACGGGATTAATCGGTTTTCAATGCACTGTAGGTCAATGGAGACTTGACTTACAGACTTTTTGACTTGAGAACCGCCTTCCAATACGGATTAAGTTCTCAAGTCAAGACCCCACTGTATATGCAAAAATCACCAAACAGTTTCTGACCAATTATTTTCATTGTATACTTTGTTTCATCTGTTACAAAAGGATAAAACTGAGCTGCAGACAGTGACATATACTCTCTAAGAGCTAAGCTATTACTATACACCAGATGGGGCTCACATATGAAGCACTGTTCCACTTTTTCTTTTTTAAATTGTTCCTAAATAGTCTTGTTATATAGTGGTGCCTTGCTTAACAATTACCTCGTTAAACGATGAAACCGCTTGACGATGAGGTTTTTGCGATCGCAAAACGATGTTCTAATAGGAAAAATTTGCTTCACGGTGATCGGTTCCCTGCTTCGGGAACTGATTTTTCGCTGGACAACAATTTTCTAGTGGTGCCTTGCTTAACAATTACCTCGTCAAACGACAAAACCGCTTGACAATGAGGTTTTTGCGATCGCAAAATGATGTTCTAATAGGAAAAATTTGCTTCACGATGATCGGTTCCCTGCTTCTGGAACCGATTTTTCACTAGATGACAATTTTCAAACAGCTGATTGGCAGTTATAAAATGGCTGCCCGCTGTGCAAAATGGTTCCCTGCTGTGATTTAGGACGGATTCCTCACTATACAGGCACCAGAAAATGGCCGCCCTATGGAGGATCTTCACTTTATGATGAGGTATTTAGCCCACTGGAATGCACTGAAGGGTTTTCGATGCATTTCAATGGGTTTTTAAAATTTGCTTGATGGCGATTTCGCTTAACAGTGATTTTGCCAGAACGGATTAACGTTGTCAGGTGAGGCACCACTGTACCTTCATTACAGGCAAAGAAGCAGCAATAGGTTCCCTATATTTGGATTTTAAACTGTTATTTGGTGAGACAAACAATAATAACACCAGATTTTCCCCTCCCAACAGCTGCCCTGCAAAAAGGATCCTAATAGCTTTCAGGATAGAATTGTTTCCATTTAAAATACTGCTCATTTTGATGTTGTTATTTCTATGTTATTTGTGAGATACCTCAAAAGGTGGTGTAGCCACTGCTTTGATTAATGAATGAACATTAAGAAAAAGGGCATATTTAATACAGGGAAATTATAGCTCAAAATCATTTTAGGAAACCTAACTTAACTTGTGGAAAGTTATGTAGTTACTTCCTATATTCTGCAGTAGGAACATTTAGGTATGTATGCTTGTTCTCAGATGGGAAGCTGCTGCCCCAGTCTGGACATGGTCAAGGGGATAACTCAGTGGTTTAGGGAGCGGTTGTGCGTTCAATTCCCTGCTGTGCCTCCTTGACAGGGGCTGGACTTGATGACCCATTAGTTCCCTCTGCATTTCTAAGCTTATTATTACTAGAGAGAGTATTAGAAGGAGTATTTCTATGCCATTTCAGCTTTTCTCTGCAACCTCCATTTGAACCCATAAACCAATTCAAGTATGTTTATGAGGAATCTGGGCTTTCTCACCAGATTACCCCAAAACATGTTCAAACCATAGGCTCAAATGTAGTTTATTGGGGGGGGGGAGAGGCACATCATAGAAATCCTCCCCTCTAATTTACTATTACTGTATATTTTTTTTGAGTCCTAAATAAAGTTACGCACAAAGGCAACAAAGGGGAAGAAAGCCACGTTTGCTGAGGCAGTTGTTGTCCAGTGTGCATTCATTTATCACTCTTTCTCCATAATGTAGCACCCTTATAGAGCGGGTGCGCTTCTTATCTGACTCTCTCACTCTTTTACTCCCTGTACTGTATGTCTAGCAGAAGAGTACATAGAAAACCCCAGCCAGCTAAAGTCGTAGATAGCGATGGGCTCAGTGGTCCTCAAACTGGGGGTCCTCAGGTGTTCTGGGACTGCAGTTCCCAGAAGCCTTCATCATTAGCAGTGCTGGCCAGGATTTCTAGGAGCTGCAGTCCAAGAACCTCTGGGGACCTCACTTTGAGAAACGCGGGGCTAGGTCAGCGACTGGACTTCAGTGCCCAGAATCCTCAGCCAGCAAGGCCAACAGTAAGTTCGAAACCTCTAGAGCAGTAGTTCTTAACCTTTGTTACTCAGGTGTTTTTGAACTGCAACTCCCAGAACCCTCAGCCAGCAGAGCTAATGGTGAAGGCTTCTGGGAGTTGCAGTCCAAAACTCCTGAGTAACCCAAGGTTAAGAACCAGTGCTCTAGAGCAGTGGTCCTCAACCTTGGGCCTCCAGATGTTCTTGGACTTCAACTCCCAGAAACCCTGGCCAGCAGAGGTGGTGGTGAAGGCTTCTGGGAGTTGTAGTCCAAGACCACCTGGAGGCCCAAGGCTGGGGACCACTGCTCTAGAGGACCAAAAGGCTCCCTCTCCCCACCTCATCCCACTGGGGTTTCTGGGAGTTGCAGTTCAAAAGCATCCGAGTAACAAAGGTTAAGAACTACTGCGAGGACCAAAAAGCTCCCTCTCCCCACCTCATCCCGAACGCACACCACATCCAGCCTATTATTCCCCCTGGGCTGCTTCGGGCATGGCACAGAAATGGGGTTGAAGGGGTCGACCTCCTTCCTTCCCCCTCTCCCACCTATCGCCTCTTTTTCTCCCTTTCGGACGGAGCTCTGCCAGAGGCCACCTCCGAAGCGGGTCACTACCTGTTAAGAAGAACCGGCCGTTGACAAGCTCCATCCTCAGCAAAGGACAGGACCAAGCCGCGCGCCGCCGTTTTTAAAAACAGCGTTCGACGCATGCGCATTGCAAAGGGACAGCTTCCTCGTGGTTCACTTCCTCCCTCTTCGAGCGGCGCTCTAGCCTGATGAGAACCATAGAGATTATAAAGCCGAGAAAGAGGGAGAAACTCTCGGCTGCAATTAAGTGTTGCAGTTCAAAATAGGTGTGTTTCCTGCCCTGGGGTGAGGGTGGGGGTGAGAGAATTTGCCTGATAAGCCCTAAACCCAACCCTAAGGGAGGAAGGGCTGCCGCAGACTTTAGTTTGTGGTCATGTCTTACCTTTTTCGCCTCACCCACGTTTTTCCTTTTTTTCGCCGAAATAAAAGCACACCTGAAAGTAACCAAGAGGTGAATTGCAGCTAGGCTTACTCTCATGCTTAGAAAATCTTGTTGGGAATTAATCCACTCATTTCAAACTGGAGTCAAACTAACTGAAGAGGGTCTTCTGCTTAAGCCTTCATTTAAAACCAGGATCCAACCTGATAAAATCATGATGCGTTGAAGATCCTCAGTGCTTTTTTGTGTTTGTCGCAATTCCTTACTGTGAATGGCATGAGCTTCGTTGGTGACCCGTCCTGGTTCTTTGTCTTAACATTTAATTGCTGTTTTCGCTGGATCCTTGTCTCCACAGGAATCTGATTTTGGATCTTTGTAATAATAACAACAACAATAATAAAATCAATGATACAATCTTACATGAAATTTGTTGAGTTTTGTATAAATTTACACTTAAATATTAGCAAATATACTGAGCTTTTTTCCTGAATAAAACACGCATAGGATGTCTTTCTTAGGATGTTCCCACAGTGATGTACCTTATTTATTTATTTGATTTATATCCCGCCCATCTGGTCTGGTCAACCACTTATACTCTGAACAAGAGGCCACTGTTAAAACTATGGAGAAACACAATGGCCAGAATCCTGATACCTCGGTATAAATCTCAGCAGCAAAATGCTGCAAGTTAAGCTGATGAAATTTGTATTTCTTGTCACATGTCAAGTCATGTTTTGTGTGGAAAGCATTCACTGTGATGTGTTCCATTTGGCTTATGCTGCTGGGTATTACGATTCTAGTTAATTATTTCTAATGATCAAAGATTTTAGACAAGGATGAAATGTATCTCTATGTTCAATCTATATACAGAATTAATATACAAAAAACTGGATTAGATTGAGATGAAAGAGGAAGGGGAAGTAGTAGAAGGAATATGAACAGTTGTAGGCATGCAGAGCCAAAGGTTAGGAGTTCGAATCCCCACTATGTCTCCAAGAGTTGGACTTGAGGATCCACTGGGTCCCTTCCAGTTCTGTACAGTATTTGTAAAATTATTAGAGGGAGGATTTCTATGACTTCTCATATTTTTTCTGCAACCTACCCATAAGCAAATTCAAATATGTTTATGAGTAATCTGGCCTTTCTTACCAGATTACTCATAAATATGTTCAAACCCACCCATAAACCCAAATATAGGTTGTGGGGGGGGATGACATATCATAGAAATCCTCCCCCTAAATGTATTATCCTATGCAGATGACACTACGGTACTGACAAAACCTGGGAATAACTGAAGAAAGTTAAAGAAGAATGTGCAAAACCAGGGTTATAGTT